CTAACACTTTGCTTTTTGTAATTTATTGGGTTAAATGTTAAAAAAAAACATATTTAGAAAATCTAATGGAAAATCTTCCTGGAAAACATGCACGATTATGTTCACTTCCACTAGGTGCGCTGGCTGTAGACTTACAAACACGCAACCACAGGCTAAGGGATACAGTAGTCTGTCACGTAACCTTGCAGTGAATTCGCCAGGGCACACGCGCTGGATGTGGAATCAAGTCTTCCCCCACCTGCACGCTCGCACTCAGCGCATATCTATCTATCTATCTATCTATCTATCTATCTATCTATCTATCTATCTATCTATCTATCCATTCATCAAAGTAAACCTGCTGAGCCCTTTGACCTTGCGATGAAAGGCACTCAAAATCAATTAGGGGTTTCACGCCCGCTTAAGGTCCACCTCTGGACAAGTTTGAAGTTGCCTACCTCTAACGGTTGCAGACAGACAGACACACACACACACACGCACCACGCCACACACACACGCCCACGCGCGCGCGCACACACACACACCCCACACACACACACACACACACACACACACACACACATACACACACGGCGCGCGCGCGCACACACACACACACACACACACACACAAACACACAAACGGCGCGCGAAAGCAATACGTTCCGCCTACACTACGTGCGAGGATATAAACCATTATATCGAAGCATTTGCCTACATTTTTCAAGAATCATTACTGCAGTCAAACCCCGTTAGTAGAAAATTGCCAGGCCAAGGAGAAAAATAATTGTATTAAGCGGGTTTCGTATTAACCACATATATTAGCCCCGAATTAACAAAAGAAATAAATTAATGGATTACAAGGTGTGTACAAGGTTTTTATATAGATTTTATATGTATAATTAAGCAACTTTAGTAGGCGTTAAATTGCTTCACAAATAGATACAATTACTGCAAAGCCTAAAGTCTTTATTCAATTACTACTATTCATTACTACAGTCGCACCCCGTTAGTACGAAACTGACGGGCCAAAGAAAAATAATCGTATTAAGCGGGTTCCGTATATTATATTAACCTTAATTTAAAGAGAAAAACAATGGATTAGAAGGTGTTCACAGTGTTTTATATAGAAATGAATATTCCGGGAGAGAAAATTTTATGTTAGTAACAGGATCATTGTATTATTGTCTTCGTATCAAGTCAATATTTTACTAAAAGATTACTATGAAACGGACCTACCACGTACGTGATGTTACATAGGCTATAGAGTTTAAACATAGAATACTATTTTAATAGAGTTTAAAACACATATGCACACGGTATAAGATACGCAAGACAATGCTAAGATAAAACCATACTCACAAGGCTTAGTTTTCCTCTAGGCTGCGGAGTTCTCTAGTTATGCGAGTGCGAACTAATTCGGCTGAACAACTTTATATATATAGATTTATTTTTATTTTTTATTTTTTAATGTTTATTTTGTATATTTATTCTTATGTCTTTTATCTTTTGATTTCTTATTATTTTTTACTGTTTGGGATGGGATGGGATGGCATGGGATGGCATGGCATGGCATGGGATGGGATGGCATGGGATGGCATGGCATGGCATGGGATGGGATGGGATGGAATGCGGTGCGATGGGATGCGGTGCGATGGCATGGCATGTCATGGCGTGTCATGGGATTGGCATGGGATGGGATATGGGATGGGATGGGATGACATGGAATGGGATGCGTTGCGATGGGATGGGATGGGATGCGTTGCGATGGGATGGGATGGGATGACATGGAATGGGATGCAGTGGCGTAGCTAGGATTTTTTCAGCGGGTGGGCACTGAGGGGCCTTACATTTTCGTAAGAGGGGGGGGGGAGCACAATATAAAATTTACTGAGATGTGGTTCGAACCCTCTTTCTTTGTATTAATTATACTGTTCTAACGGCATTGTTTTTAATTGAATTTTTTTTTATCAAGCATGAATTTTTAGTGGGGGGGCACCTGGGGGGAGGCACAGAAAATTTGTAGGGGGCGGCCCCCCCGTAGCCACGTCCCTGATGGAATGGATGGATGGATGCATGGATGGATGGATAGATAGTTAGATTTTTTGGGGAATTTTCCTTTCAACCAAGCGGTCACCAACTGAGTAACGCCACTGATTTCCCCGGGCAACGCCAGGTATCTCACTAGTATATATATATATTAATACGCTCTTGGTAATATATACGTAATGATGGGACACAATTAGTCGGACGGTAATAGACTGAAGTTCAACTGGTAACATTGGGGGCCAATTTAATGTCGACAACGATTTCGGCGAACGTCCTTTTTTAGACGAATCTATTGACAAATTACTAAATTAATTATTAAATGAGACGCCGACAAGTGGCGAGCCCACGTGTATTACCTGACAGAAGACAGTCATGACTCTATACTATGCTGACTCCTCTATGACTCTAATTGCACTCAAATCCGGAGGTCAAACTTTTGTTGATATGCAGTATAATGTAATCGACAAGCCATGACAGCATATCATGTCTGCAGTGCTTCATATACACAGGCTGCGGTTAACTGCACCCCATCTACGGTGCAGCGGGTAGGAATACACGCTATCAAGAGCGTATAAAGAAGGTATTCATTTTACGCTCTTGACGCTATATAGCTTATCAAGCACGCGCGCGTGCACGCTCACACGCACGCACACGGACACATACGCTGCCTCATACGCACATGCTCACACGCACGCACACGGACACATACAATCAAGAGTACATAATAGAAATTGTTCTATTATGGACTCTTGATACACTCATACTGGCACGCACGCACGCAAGCACGCAAGCACGCACGCCCACCACACACACGCGCGCACACACACACACGCGCGCGCACGCACGCACGTACGCCCCCCACCCACACCCACACGCGTACGCCCCCCCACCCACACACGCACGCGCGCACACACACGCACGCGCGCGCACACACACACGCACGCGCGCGCGCACACACGCACGCACACACGCGCACGCGCACGCACCCAGACAGATACGCGGCAAACCCAGCTAATCTGCGGTATTAGTGTTACTAATGATACATGACATAAAAAGAGAGCGGTGGCGCTGACGTAGGCCCCTGCGTCTACGCGGGGTCAGATTTCCCCCTTCACTCATCGCCTGCAACGCGAACCCGATCAAGACCTGTTGCTGTATTCTAACGAACGTCGCGCTCGCTCGAACGCGCGCCCGACCATTATCGAGTAGAATAATTGCTTACCGTTCATACGACGTATAGGTAAGTTTACCTATACGGCTTCTACTGTGTGCTTCTACTATGTAGGCTTTCTACTGAAAGGTGCTCCTCGCGTTGCGGTGCGTGCATCATGCATATGTATAACATATGGCATATATATATATATCGCGCGCGCAAGCCGCTGCGGTTACTTTTGATCAATATATACTGCGAGACGGCTGGGTTTCGTCGGCAAACGTCGGCATACGTCACCTTTACTTCTCCTCCTCCTCCTGCTGCTACATTCATCCCGCAGATATAACGATATACACGCACGCACGCACGCACGCCGGCACACACGCAGGCAGGAATATGCACGCACGCACGCCTGCACACACGCAGGCAGGCATATGCACGCACGCACGCCGGCACACACGCAAGCAGGCATGCACGCACGCACGCACGTCGGCACGCACGCACGCACGCCGGCACGCACGCACGCCGGCACACATGCAGACAGGCATGCATGCACGCACGCACGCACGCACGCACACCGGCACGCACGCACGCACGCGCGTCTCACCCGTGCCTATAGGGATGGATGGATTGTCGGGGCTGCAGCTTTCGTGGTAGGTGGGCCGGAGAAAGAAATGCCTACACAATTTAGGCGAAACAAATAATGCGCAACATTATAGCTAAAATTACACAAGAGTAAAATGTATTTATTTTTGATAAATTCGCCAAGATAAGCAACCGTTTCGACAACTGCTGTATAGTTGTCGTTGTCAGGCTGAACGGGGATAATATAAAATTAGATGAATCAATTTCAAAAACTATATATACGTGTATATATATATATAACAAAATAATTACTTAAACCTAATCTTGTATTTTTTGGCATACTTTTTAAAAAACAGATAGAGCTTTTGGTTGTATTACAACAATAGTGTGCGTTATAGGTTTAACATATAGAATCTTGAGATATATGGGCTTAATATATTTAAATTTAATTAATGTATAATTAATATAGTTACTGTTAATATAAATTATTAATATTCAATATATATAGGAATAACACATTGAGATAGCCGGCCACTCGTGAACAAACGCCACTGTGACAATAAAAACGTAGAACAGATGTTATGTAATATAATGAGATAATGCATCGCTATATATACGCATCAAATAAAATATATATGGAATAAATGTTTGCATGCAAAACCCACTCTCTGTTTGGATACAGATCAGGAGTAGATAATAGGGAACCCTATTATCTACTCCCGATACAGATAGATAGATAGATAAATAGATTAGAGGAGAGAAAAGCGATGATGGAGAGAAAGATGACACGAGAGGAGATAAGAGATCGGATTGATCGAAGAGAGACCTTCGAGAGAGACGAGAGAAGATATTATTATAATCTATAAAGATAGAGAGAGGACAGAAGAGATAGCTCTGATTAGATAAGTTATATTGATAGATAGATCGGTATTATACAAACAGCGGACGGACAGACGGTCGAGCAACACGAACGAACGGACGGACAGACAGACGGACGGACAGACGGATAAAAGAGGGCCGTAGCCCATGAATGTGAACAAGGAGCAGTTGGACCCCACATATGGTGACAAATAAAAGCCTAATAAATAAATATAAACGATGCTAAAATTAGTGTAAATCATCACGTCATCACCCGCTGAACCTCCCAACCCCACCCCACCCAACCCACACAAACCCACCCCGCCACCAATGGCTTGCGCGGCGGCTAGACAAAACGAAACAGTCAAAACGCGATCTATGTTTGAATTACTGGCTTTATTTGTAGTCCTAATTATTATACGAACGATTTCAAATCAGCTGTGCATTATAAACAAGCCAACACCTGTGGTGGTGATGTACGTGCACACGTAGTTGTCAGCCGTATCGCCGCCACACATACACCAGTGCACGACGTACGGCACCCATGCGCGCACACCACATAACGAGCATTAGTCTGCAAACATCGCTACAATTTCGGCGCTCCCTCCACCTGGTCAATCATGCGACGCACGCTACAGCACGCGCGGCGTGCGGCGCGCACACACACAAACACACACATCACACACACACCACACACACACACACACACACACACACACACACGCACGCACTCAACGGACACATACCGACACCACGCGCGGAGCAGCGACGCACGCGACCACGCACGCACGCACACACACACCGACGCTGGCTCGAAAACACAAAAGCACAAAAAATGACAGTAGATGAAATAAATAATGACGCGGCCCGGCGGGGATGCTAGTGCAGGAATATAAACCAGGCACCAATTAATACTAATTAGTGCGGATTACAATTAGTACTAATTAGTATCTTTATAGCAGGAATAAATAATCACAAACCTGTAATTATTTACTCCTGTTTATAGTATAGCTATGAGCGACTGTCCCCCTGCGATAGAGGGCACGGCGACAGTTCGCTCGCGGGACTTTGTGCATACGTTAGCGGCTTCCTTCACCCCTTCTCCCCTCACTCACACCAGCAACCACGGCTCTTCGCACGCACTACTCGTATTCCTTACTGCTTGCAACTTCTCACCGATTCCATCGACTTCCCTTGCCTATCCTATCGGCTCCTCATACAGCGTGTCTGTTGCTCTCACAAACACTCGTCCCTCAATCTTGCTCAATTCTCGAATCGCACCCCAACATCTCCCCACGTACTTTCCCAGCACCTCACTGGTCCCCATCTCTCCTTTTATACATACCTCGCAACATACCTTGCCTCTTTCAGTCATACCCTACCCATTCCCTACGCAATTTACGTACCCCTCGGTACCCCATCGACTATCCACTCCACACAGCTTCGCTTAACACACCGTGCATTTCTCTTTCGCGCGCGCGCTCGTATGCGCTCTTTCTCCGTCTCTCCATCTATCCCTCCCGCACTCCGTTTCGTTTCCCCTCCCTCTCTTGCCATTTGTTTCCTCATGCCGCACGTGTGCACGCGAAATCAGCCGAGTTTGCACGCCCGTTACAGGCCACATACACACGCGCGCGCACGCAGAACGCACACGAGCACGCGCACGCACACGCACACGCACACGCACACACACACAGAAAGTAAGCCCCCTTCCCTCCCTTCCCCGCCGCGGCTTAGACACTGCTACGAAATACACGATTAAATACTGGTAGACTATATAATCAAACATTCTGTAAACATTAAAGAAAATAAATGTTTTTAGGGGGGGGGGGTCAGTCACATTCTCCGCTTTTAAACCTGTCTACCCTGCATATATACCTCAGTGTAAATAGTTTCAGCAGTTACAGTAGGGTTTTCGATATTTAATTTTTTTTTTATAAATTCATACGCAACTCGAACGTTTTTTTATAGACTGACAACACACAGTCAAAGTTTCTGTTCACTGTCGAGTAACAGTGGCAGCGAACACGAAAAGTGTTGTAACTCTATAAGCAATGTCAAAGACCTACATTACAAATGTATATTCAGAAAAACACAAGAACACTCAAAAAATTACATACCAGAATATGAAAAATATATGCCGAAATCAATAATATAACAGTTATACTACTTTTGAGACGTACACCGTGAAAACACAATAATTTATACAACACTATATACTATTTACAGTTAACTACAGCTTATACATAACAAGTTCAGGGTCCGTGTCATGTTAAAATGCTATTGGACTATCAAAACCGATCTAGAGGCCCTCGCTGGCAGTAGGCCTAACGACCAACCGACTACGCAGCAAATACACGGAACATTTACCACATTTTTTGGATAACAAACGCCAAACATCATCCTTCGGTGGGTATATACTATATAATCCAAAATGGCCGCACACGCATGGATAATATATGATACAATAATGTAACCCAACAAGATTAGGAAATCTAGACTAGAGTATAGACATTATTGTATCTTCTAGGATAATATCGGCTAAGTAATTAAGTCGCCGTGAAATCTTCAACAATTCCCGCTCTCGGAGCGCGGTTTATGTCGACACGGAGGGCGAAGATTAAAGAGAACGTTAAACTTTTCCTGGAGATATAGAAGATGACAGATCGATCGCGCTCATCAAAGCATTCCAACACCAGCACTACATGGGGATATGTACGGACAACGTGTGTGAACTGTGAACCGTTCTCAGGGGGGGGGGGGGGTGAGACAACCAACCAGAGATGTAAACAAGAATCCCTGAAACGCGAAAGAATTTCTAGCACACGATTCGATGCTGAGCAACGTCAACACGTGGGCCTAGTCTAGTCCTAACCAGCTCTATCCAGCCACGAATGCATACATCTTACTCTCACGTCTCAACCGGCCAGTGTTAGCCAGTAATCTGAAAGTACGGAACGTGGGGAAGACAGCAATCGAGAGTCGATCACGAGAATCGATGGCTATTCCAGACATGAGAGAAACGCTACCGATCATTAAAACCAACTCTGACACGCGTTACAGGATGAGACCAAAGCAGCAAAATCAAACGGTGCCGCGAGGGCGGCAGATCGCAAAGTTCAATCGCGAAACCAAACATTTGAGAGGAACCGAGGTATTGGGATCTCTGTTTCAGTCAAATAGCTTTCCACGTACATGAACGGCAATAAATTTTCTAGGGGGGCAGGGTGTTAATTTTCTTTGTAAGCGATTGACTGTTAGCATATATTACCACGAAGCTAAGCATACCGATAGCAGTACAATCTGCAGATAAGTTCGTGATATTACTTTGCTAATGTAAAAATCACAGTCTCAAATACACTGCCCCTGACTCACGAGCTCACAGCAATTGAGACGCTGACTGCTTCTGCTAGATCTCTGAAAAACCAGGCCCTGGAAAACCAAAGAAACTCCAAAGGGCACTGACCGGGAAAGTCATCACAAGAATACACAAAACCTAGTACTGACGTCATCCGTAGTTATTAACCAACGGCTGTTACACTAGTCGTCGCATTCTGCGGAGAACTTTCTAGAAGCAACAAGCTTATTTCCTAGTTCCTTATTACTCTTACATTAGATTCAAACTCTCCACAAGCTAGAGAATAGCATGTGCACCATCCACAACCTGAGCTACATCGGTTTCTATGGTGAAATAAAAGTGAACTATACTCGCCTAATGGCGCTGCTCTAAAATAAGGAAATTGGTAAAAAAAAATCAGTAAGTGGACTCTTACATTAGATTCAAACTCTCCACAAGCTAGAGAATAGCATGTGCACCATCCACAACCAGAGCTACATCTGTTTCTATGGTGAAATAAAAGTGAACTATACTCGCCTAATGTCGCTGCTCTGAAATAAGGAAATGGGTCTAAAAATAAGGAAATGGGTCTAAAAAATAAGCAAGTGTACTCTTAATTACACTTAAACTCTCTACTACAAGTTTAAATGTGATGTAAGAATCCAGATGCAGATTTATAACAGGTTGTGGATGGTGCACATGCTATACTCTAGCTTGTGGAGAGTTTGAATGTAATGTAAGAGTGCACTTACTTATTTTTGAAAATGAGGAACTAGGAACTAGGAAATAGCTTCACGCACATCCGCTGACAAAATTTGTTTCCCCACTTGAGTTCCGGACCCACTATAGATAGTGTTTTGTAATATATGGTTCGTATATATATGGTTGGATTATAGTTAGTGTTCAGGTACGGGTTAGGGTTAGGGTAAAGCCTGTCGCACACGCTGTGTTTTGTGCTGCAGCACAAAACACAGCGTGTGCGCATGCAAACGCATCGATTTCTTGCGTGTGGAAAATATCACACGTGTTTGATATTTTCTTCCACGTGTGGCAGATTGAACAGCGTGTGCGGAGTGGCTGTGTCAATTTCCACACTCAATTCGCTTTGTTCGCTTGATTGTTCGCTTGGACGCATTGTATTTTTTTCTCAGCTCGCAGCTCGCAGCTCGCATAACAGGCAACTCGCATAGAGGCATGTCCAAGAACTGATCGATCAAACGTCAGGTGAACGCTCTCTTCAACGACGCTCCGTGTTCAAGCGAACAATCAAGAACAATGCAAATTGAGTGTGGAACTTGACACAGCCACTCCGCACACGCTGTGCAATCTGCCACACGTGGAAGAAAATATCAAACACGTGTGATATTTTCCACACGCAAGAAATCGATGCGTTTGCATGCGCACACGCTGTGTTTTGTGCTGCGCCATCAGCCACGCGTGGCCGATGGCGCAGCACAAAACACAGCGTGTGCGGCAGGCTTTAGGGATAGGGGGTATTCATTTTACATTGTGGCTTCGAGGAAGTCGAGTGAATGGAGTGCGCTGATTGGCTGTGGTCCGGAACTCAAGTGGGGAAAAAAATTTCGCATCCCGCTGAGGGTAGAATGCTTGCAATAATGTGCGACCATGGATGCACGTGTGGCCGATCCCTACACCTGCACGGCATCAATACTATAGGCTATAAATAAATATAATAGGATGATTCTCCGAGGAGCGTTACATCATAGATATATATGTATCTATCCATACACAATGTGTACATATATCTATATATATATATATATATATCAATAGTCACATCGTATCATTTTTGATGTAACACTCCGCTTTGCGACTAGAGTACTATCATAAATAGAAATCACAACTGCAGCCGCAATACTCAGTTTACCGGAAGATTCATCAGAAACGGCGTCTCCCGGTCTGCGACCAATTAAATCATTCCTAAAACAATTTATTACAGAGAAATCTATTGTGAGTTGGAGAGACAGAGAGAAAGGGAGAGGGGAAGAAAACAAGTATTCGACTTAACGCTTTTGCTAAAAATGCAAAATCCTTAATCGCATCTAGACTTTCACGGGCCTACAACTACAAGGGGATGCAACTACAAGTAAATTTCGAAGAATTTTCAGAACTATTATTAGACTAAACATTACTGACATTATTGTCGTAGGGTGCTGCCATCTTCAGGACAAACCTACAATTATCGTCATGATTTTTCCCAAGTTTTGCCTGATGTGAAATACGATCTGCAACTAGCTGGTTCACTAACAAACCTATTAAGTGAAACAACCTTAGCGTCACGCCATGCCACCAAGCAAAACCAATGGTAAACGCTTAGACAAATGCTCAACTGTCGAATTTTTACTCGTCGTGAAACGCATTCAAAATGTTATTCCTCGCGCTCCTCCTACATTCACTTTGAGGCAGTTAAACCTTAATTGCAATTGTTCGTGGAAAATCTCCCGTGTCGTATCTGATGAGTTGCAAATGCATCGACCACGAGCCACTCACACACGTTCACGCTTGCTCTGCTCCCACGCACAGGTGCCAAGTGCACGCCAGATACCTTCTAATTCACCCATAAATGACACCCTATCTCCTCGCCCATCTTCTAACTCACCAATAAATGCTATCCCCATTGCCCCTCATCTTATTATAGCCGTGGATTCTATTTACAATAAAGTAAAAATCAGAAAATATGGTCGATACGCACACACACATACACATCTGCAATAGTCACTACACGGGAGTGAAAATGTACACACGACGCATGTACAGGCATTGGGGGAGGGGAAAGATTTCATGATAAGTAAGTAATTGTCACGAGTATACATGATTCCGAAATAAAAGCGCAATCGCCTAACGCACTACCGAGAGAGCACTAAGCCACGACACTAACATATAACATAACTGCGATCATTCCCAGAAACTCCCGTTCCGACCCTGCGCGTGACAACGCTTAATTGACCGAAAGAGTCCGGCACCCGATATTGACCCACGGAGCACCTTACGACCGGTGGGAAAATTAGAATGGATCTATGACTCTGACAACAGCCAACAACCGACCATCCATGTCTGCAAGCTCTTGGTGCTATTATGACAACTACATCTACGCGGGACAACCAGCTGCTCCACTCCTCCTGTTCCACCACCTCCTCCACCTCCTCCAGCTCCACCTCCTCCTCCTCCACCTCCTACTCCTCCGCATTTAGTGTAGTACGAGGAAACAGCGTGTAGTAAAGACGACGGCGTAGATCATACGAGCAAAAGAAACGGGAAAACACCTCGTGAAAATATTCAAAGCTACGAAGCAGAAGCTATTATACGGTAGCAAACACACTATCAGATCTTCGTTTTTCACGTGGAATGCGTGTAAGGTAACAACACCTTCTGATGGTCGCAGCGGGGGCACCGCACGCTTGCAAGGGTATCTATCTCGCAGTCATACAAGTACCTCACCGATGCAGACGTGACTTCTCAGATCAATGCAGATGGGACCTCAACAATGTAACTGGAGCCTCACCGATGCAGATGGAACCTCACCGATGCAGACGTGGCATCACCGACGTAGATGAGACATCACCAGATGAGGATGTGACCTCACCTATGTAGATGGGAGCTCACAGTTGTGGGGTGACCAGACAGCTATAGTGCAAGGCTATAAAAGCACACCCAAAGAGTTTTGACTGCCGATTTTCGTCTGAGCCTCAGGTACACATGTATGCGTATGCACAGCAATGATGGATGGCACGCACGCACACACGCAGACACGCACGCAGGGGGCACACAGGCACGCACGCACGCAATTAGGCTCACACGCACCCACCAAAGAACGAAGGCATGCACACGGGTCAAGCTCGCAGCTAAAACCTGACGCCTCTGTCGCATCAGCTTCTTTCCTCGCCTTTCCTAGTCAGGCAACGCCCACGACGACGATGACGACGACGACTGCATACGCCGCACTGCAAACACGACGTAGAAAACGCCCCCGCCCCCTGGCAGTCCTCCCCCTACGTTGGCTATGCGGTTGGTGGCGGAGAGCCTCTCTCTCTCGCTCTCTCACACGCCCTGTCTGCATCCCTCCACCCGCCACCCCCCCACGGCGATTGAACACGCAGCATGGCTGCGACGCATAAGCTGAACGCGAGTAATACTGGGCGCGGTATTTGGATTCCGGAAGCGCCTCCGCCGGGGGAAACGCGCCGTCGATGATACGAAAAACAGCGACACGATGTCGGTCGGTCGGTCAGTCGGTCGCGCTCTGATCACGTACGTAGGGAGTAGCGCTGCGGGAGGGAGGTCGGCTCGGCACGGCGGCCGCGGCGGCTGAACGACGACGACGATGAGAGTGAAGCGACATCAGATCCACGTACCATGTACACGCGTACTATACACCCGCGCGGCTAGCCGCCAACGCCGCTCCCTCTCCGCGCCCCGCCGCAGAGAAGAGCAAGAGCAGCATCTCACGCGAGGCCCACGATCGCGCCGCGCGACGACGCCCGCGGCGGCGCGACCCCCGGACGCCGTCCAGCATCCTCCTCCTCCGTTGCCGCGGCGACGCCGCGTCAGTCATCGTCGTCTTCGTCGTCGTCGAAGCCCGTGAGGTCGACGTCGTCGAGGAGTCCCTCGTTGAGCGCGTACTCAATGACGGCGAGGTGGCAGAACACGTACTGGTCGGGCATCTGGATGCTGTGCGCGCGCTGCGTGCGGATCTTGCGCACGGTCGACTCGACATCGATCGTACCGACGTCAGCCAGCTGCTGTAGCGCAATGTCCAGCATGCAGAACGTACCTGCAACACACACGTGGTGAGTGAGCGAGAGAGAGAGGGAGAGGGGAAGAGGAGAGAGGGAGAGAGGGAGAGGGGGAGAGG